TGTAGTGATCTGTTAGATCGGTATCCTGGTATATAGGATGATGTTATGCTTAGTGATCTGTAGATTTGTTTAACTGGCTATAGACGGTTATATGATTATATGTTATATGTGCACATGTTTTGTGCATAAGCCAACAGGTCGGGGAAAACCAACCCAATGGTTGAATGGGCCCGAGGGTATTCTATCCCTAGGATGATTGGACCCATAGTATGTTGGCATTCCAACCGATGGTTGATTAGACCTGTAGTATGTTGGCCTTCCAACCCGATAGTTGAGGGGCCTGGGGTATTCTAACCCGATGGTTGATTGGACCCATAGTATGTTGTTATTGTATATGTGTTATTTGTTTGTGTGTTGGTACTTTGGGCGGACTCACTAAGCTTTGGGCTTACAGTTTTTGGTTATGTTTCCGGTACCTCAGATTACCGCCGGAAGGCGAAGGCGTGACCGTACACCTCCTCGTGTTTTGATTTATGATTTTGGGAAAACTCTGATATTAAACATTTTTTGAAAACTATGTTGTAACCAATGGTGATTTGTGGATTGTTTTTAAAAGTTTAAAATTTTCATGATTTTTATGGGTGTTACACATTCTACAAATCTTAGTGGTGAAATTTCAAAGCTTCGTGACATTTCGAAAGAACGTCATCAACTGTTTGCAAAACAACTTGAGGAAATGAAAGTCTGTTTATAGAATCAGATTTCTGATATTCGAAAGATGTTGGAATTAGAAATTAAAAAATTTGCCGAAATTTCTTCGACACTACACAAGAAGATGGATATGGTTGCTGAAGCGTCAACTCGTTTGACTGAAGACATCACTTCTTTTAAAAACGACTACATTGTTGGCCTTCATGACATGGTGAAAGGGGATACTCAAGTGTTTGCTAAAGTTAAGGAGTTCTTAACCAAAATCAGAACCATGCTTTCGGATCAATCGATGATTTCTCCAGAATCGATTTCTCAAATGATTTCCAATATCGAGACCAACAGTAAGGATGAGTTGGATCCGATCAGGAGGTTTGTTCTTCGACTCCCAACAAATGCTTCTGATGATATGCATGTGTCGCAAGGGGGAGAAGAAGGAGTTAGTTCGTCGAAGGATAAAAGTGACAACTCTAGAGTTGTTGTGGGAAAGGTGATAAGTACTTAAATCCCTATAACTATCAGTGAAGCCCATAACTTCAACTTCTACAACAACAACAATAGTCTAAACAAAAGGAATCTCAATTAATGAAGGAACAGGAGTTTCAAGTTCAATCCCTAATAAATCAACTTCGAATGTTGATCCAAAGGATAAAGGGAAATCAATCACAGTTGTTCAATCAGAAGAAGAGAAGAAAAAGAAACATGCCATCAAAATCGAAAGGAAAAGGCAGATAAACAACATTCAAATGCAAAGAGAAAATAACCCACCTGGCTTGAACAAGGGTGATCCTAACAAGCAGTGGTGTAAGGAAACTATTGAAGCGATTGTTATTGGATCGAATGAAGATTTTTGAAAGGTGCCTAAGAAGAGTTACGACACAAAGAACATTGATTTTAATAAGCTTGACTTTCCAATCAATCATATGTTGTTCACGTCTTCACAATATAAGATTGTACAGAACTTCAATGATAAAGAAGAAATCAAAAGATTGAAGATTCGCTTTCACGTACTCTTGGGAAAGAATGAAGAAGAGGTATGGTCTCCAGTGAAGATAATAAAAGTGATGTTCATTTCTCGTGATTGCATGTTTGAAGGTCTGATACAAAATTTGTGTTATGTTGTTGTAATAGCAAATAACATTGTTTTTGAATTTACAATAGCAGATTTTCCATTGGTGAACTTGAATGATTCGATATCTGTCACAAAGATTTTGAGAGCTGTTGATGTGTCGAAGATTCCATAGATCATTAAAGATGATTTCATTATTGGGTTTGCTCATATCAAAGTCTTTCTTGATAATTACTATAACTACTTGGAGATCACTGATATTGAGCTTACTACAACAGTAAAGAAGCCATCGAAAGTCCCTCAATCGTTGTAAAAAAGAAAGTTGAATATTGATAAATATGATGATGGTGAAATTATTCATCAACCTTTTGGTCTTGTGTTTATTGGAAAGAACAAGAAGGGGAAATGATGAAGTTTTTGTTTCAAATTTGTGATCTTGAGAGGTACACAAACTCTCAGTATATTAATATTCTTATTCGAATCAACAATTGCAAGAAGAATGACAGTGAAGACAAAGCTGAGATTCGAAAAACCATTTAATGGTATTTGGAGATTCGAAGAGAAGTTCTACACACTTTAAAGCTGGTTGCTTAATTTCGACTACTCTCACTAAGGGGGGGATTGTATGGGTCGAATGTGTATAGTGAGGTGTTGAAATGGCCAGAGTCTGTAAGGAGTCGAAATCATTATGACTTCGACTCTCTATCTATTTTACAAGGCATTGTGATTTTCAGTCTTTGATGTTTAGTCCTTGTAATTTCTTTTTTTTTGTGTCTGATGTACCCTATAAATAGGGTAGGTGCATAGAGTAGAGTAACGTTCGAACACTTGGTGTATTCTCTTTTATACTCTTGAACTCTTGTGTACTCGTTCAGATGTAATCGAGCCAAACAAATATTATTTACATCTTGTGTTCATTTACAGCTTTGATCGTCTTAATCATTTGTGTTCGTAATCAATCTTAACACACTTCAAAATTCTTAACCTTATGGAGAGTATGATTAGATTTTCTAAGGCCTAAATGGGTCTTTATATAGTTGTGGTATTTTTCAGATAAACCTGATTTGAATCATTTAAATAATTAGATTTAATCCATATTCAAATCTTCATCCTTATCAGCTATTTGAAAGATTTTGGAAGCCTTCTGGAAGCCCTCCAGAACCGTCCATTCTCATGGACATCCTAAATTTTCCTATTGCTCAAGTATTGAATAATTACCACTCAGCCCCTGAACCTTTAAATAAATCCAAATTAATTCCTGATAATTTCAAATAAATTCTAATAAATTTTTACTAGTTTCTACTTAATTTGTTAACCTGTAATAAATTAATAAACAATTTATCTCAATCTCTCAAATTAGTTTCAAGTTATTTTAACTTCTGAGGGCAACCTAAAAATGACTTTGTTATTATTCCTAAGGTTACACCAATTAGTTATGACATTAGACACTTATTTCCAACATCATCTTTCACTTGATGATTTACATGAAATAATAACATTCGATGGATACAATTTCTATGAAGGGCTTCGTACCTTGAAGGATAATCTTAGGTGAGATAAAAAAAAATTATACATTCTTAAGGACCCTATCTCTAAACAACTTTTACCTACCAGTAAAATTGAACATAATGCTTGGTGGAAGCATTACTATAATGTTGATGATGTTTCTCATAGCATATTAGAAACAGTTATTCATAACCTTTGGAATGAATTGGAAAACTTACAGGCATTTCATATATTTTGTCAGGTAAAACATATATTCCTAAGATACAATGTTATTAAGAATAGATGCCAGTTAATTCTCTTAACTGGCATCTATGGTGTAATCCTCTTTTATTCTGTTGTTTTTGTACTTCGTCTTGGAGCTTCTCGCTTGAGCTATTGTTTTTTTTCCTAATGAAATGCCTCATTGCAAAAAATAAAAAATAATACAATAATAAAATAAAACAAACAAATATTATCAGTTGAATTTTGATAAAAACGTGTGTATATGGTGTCAATTTAGCAACATGCTGTCGAAAAACACCAATATTCCTTATAAACTAACATTTATGCGACCTTTAAGTAGAATTCAATATATTTGATTAGAACAAATGTTTTTCATCTCTGTTTAATTAATAATTAATGAACTTTTTCTTAAATGTCAATATTAGGTAGGAATACTTTAATGTGATGTGGTCCTTTAATTAAATAAGCGTTAATATAATTTTTTTGGCATCATGATGAAATTACAAAAAACATAGTGTTCCATTACTACCAAAAAGAAATTAAAAAAATTAATAGCTTTCTGTTGTTTATAGAGTTGGTGATGGCCTTCGTGTGCATTCCACGGTCCATAGATTAAATTACTATTAATCTCTACAACGTTCGTATGGAGTGCACACTCCTTTCATTTGTATATATTTATTGAACATCCAACAAAATTTCATGCATGATCATTTGCGGCGAGCTAGTGGTATCCTATACATTCTACGGTGTTCAGTGTTCCTTTTCTCTTATTTGCTAGGGTGTTGTTACAATTCTTTTATACCAAATATACATATACATATTTATGGCACTACTTTAATTTGGACAAATATACATATTTTTCTTAAGAATCCAATATATATGGCACTACGTACCTTTTTTCGTACTACTAATACCACCATGTCTACCTTGGTCGTACGTTTAATCGAAGTAATTAATTTAAAGCTTGTAATACCATCTTTGTTGTAAATATTATTTCTAAGACATATATAGTCTCTCTTGTTATAAGAAAAATAAAATATATGAGAGAATATATCAGTGATAGGAGTTGACGAAAGAAAGGTAGTGTATTAATGCTTCATAGTAGTGTAGTCTATATATATGCCATTTGTTTGTCTGTATAGCTAGGCATAATTTCCCAATTTGAATATTGTACTTGTAGTGAATTACCAAGCATGTGTTTTTATATAGCACCGGCCGGTGTAACTTTTAGGGATGTTTTACGACAGATAAAAAGTCTTTTTCTTTAACAGCAAGGGAATTTTATTAAACCGAAAGGACAAGTGAGACCCAAGGCAAGTGTACGTAAGTCCCAACCGTAAAGGCATGCATGAGCCTAAAATACTATCTAATTGTTTTTGTATAACCTAAAAGTTTTGTTAGTAATGGTTATCTTTCCATCTTTTCTTGGTCCTTCCTCTCTCTATAAATATCCTCTAGAGGGAAACTGTTTTCCCACAAGCAAGTTTTAGTTCCTTCTTTTTTTATCCCTCTTCATCCTTTTGTGTATTAATATTATCTTTCAACATTCACCTTCATGGCAGCTAATCAAACTGACTTCACTGTTCCAATTCCTGAAGATCATTCACATCAAATGCAATTCCAAGTGTGCACAGAGGAAGACTTTGATTACTCGCAAAGGGGACAGTGGCTTCGTGCAGCTCTCTTGGGTGCTAATGATGGATTAGTTTCTGTCTCGTCTCTGATGATGGGTGTTGGAGCTGTGAAACATGACCCCAAAGCCATGATTCTATCAGGTTTCGTGGGTTTAGTTGCGGGTGCATGCAGTATGGCAATAGGAGAATTCGTTTCTGTATACTCTCAGCTAGATGTAGAAGTTGCTCAAAAGAAGAGAGAGCGTAGAACGGTGGAAAATCAGGAAGAAAAAGAGAAGGAACAACTGCCAAATCCTATGTTGGCTGCTGTAGCATCAGCTCTTGCATTTTCGCTAGGAGCAATAGTGCCTTTACTTGCTGCTTCTTTTGTAGAGGACCATAAGGTGAGGTTGGGTATGGTGGTAGCAGCGGTTAGCTTGGCGCTAGTGGTTTTCGGATGGATAGGGTCTATACTTGGAGGAACTCCTGTGTTTAAGTCTTGTTTTAGGGTTTTGTTGGGAGGGTTGATTGCTATGGCCATCACCTTTGGACTAACCAAGCTCATTGGCTCTAGTGTGATTTAACGTCAAACACTATCATTGGTCTTTTATATTACTGCGTGGTTATGTAGTAAAATGTCTCTTATTTATGTTATAAATGTACTATATGAAGGTAAGTTATTGTGTTATCTTAATCTATGTATAACTAGTGTGATGTCCCTTTAAATTATAATAAAATCATTGTTCATTGCGTACAAGCATGCAACTATATACTTTAAATGTCTTTTGGTTTTTATACTTTCTCTTCTGATCTCTTTTATAACATCACATTTTCTAATCAACGTTTTTCTTTTGAATAGTTGAGTATCAAATGAGATTTTATTGGAGGGGTTGTTTATGTTCGCTGCTATCTTCATGTATGCTAATAAGCTGCGTTCCTTTTCTGCTTAAGTGTTTGGGCTTTTTTTGGGCGACCTAAGATTTTTGTGAGTTTTAAAGATATGAGAGGGTTGTCACCATCGGAGAAAGTGGACGGAGGGTTCCTTCAGGAAGTCCGGTTGCACCTAGTATGTCCCGAATTTCACAGTTTTGAGGTAATTTAAGATCTAAAACTTCTCAATTTTATTTTTTTTCTATTTTTCTATTAGATCAGTTAGTTTCCCAATAACAAGGGTACCACTACAAGAAATAACACCTTTAGGGACGACCTCTTTAGCGACGACTACGGGCTTTAGCGGCGACACTAGACAAAGTCGTCGCTAATGGTCTCTGTTGTCACTACAGCTGTCGTCTCTAAAGGTATTCCACCGGCGATCCAGTTGTGCCACACGCCATTTAATCCTGACCGTAGGCTGCTATAGTGATCCATCGGCTAGGGTTTCATCTGGTGGAACGTAATAGCGACGACGTGTCGCCGCAATTGATAGCGATCCGTGTGCTTTTCATCGTGACCCTTGAATTGTTTTTAGATCGGACGGCTACCAGGATCCAGAGAATGGCGCGTGTTTTTCCCTCCAACTCGTCGCCGAATTTGGTTTCGGGGTCGCCGCAAATAGCGTCGCCGCTAAAGGGTTCATCCATTTGACTACCCCCTGCGTCCAGAAAACTCAGTTTCGTTGGGTAAATATCACTCCCTCGCAAACTTCGGCGACCATCGCAAACTCCGCCGACCCTCGCAAATTCCGGCGTACTTCACCACCACAAACCACCTCTCCTTCTAGGCTTTCATTTCCCGTGAATTTCCAGCAGATTCCAGCAATATCCGGCCATTTCCGGCGAAATCTAAGTTCTCCGACGAGATTAAAACTCCGGTAAGGTGCGTTTTGCTCTTCCCTTTTATATTTCTCTTGTTTTCTCACCTATATTTAACCTTAGTTTCAATTTTTTTTTTTGTGATTTTAAGTAACTCCGGTGGTGCTCTCACAATTTCCGGCGGCTAGAAGATATTTCCGGCGACTTTCGCTTTTCCGGCGACTTTCCGTTTACCGGCAGCAGGTTCCATTTTTTTTACTTTTTTATTTTTCTGTTGATAATATATGTGAAATGTATATATTTTGTTATGTGAAATTTGCATATTTTTTGGTATGTGAAATTTGATGAAATCTATGAATGTATATGTAAAATGTATATTCAAATATGTATGTGTGAATATGTATGAAAAAAATGTATATGTATGTGTGAATATTTATGAAAAAAAATGTATATGTATGTGTATGTATGAACAAATGTATATAAAAATGTATGTATAAATGTATTTCTATGTGAAATATATGTGTATGTGTATGTATATGAAAAAATGTATGTGAAAAAATATATGTATATGAATTGTAGGCATTTTTATGTGAAAAATGTATGTGAAAATATGAAACGTATGAAAAATGTATGTGAAAATATATGTGAAAATATAGGTATTTATATGAAATATATGAAAAATGTATGTGAAAATATAGACATTTTTATATGAATTGTATGAAAAAATATATGTGAAAATATAAATATTTATATAAGGCTTTTATGGGGTAACTTTAGACATATGAAATATTTATTATTATTAGCTTGTATATTAATATTTAATGAAAACTTTATTTAAAATCATCAAATAAATTATATTTTTAAAAATTTAATAACATAGAAAGTATCCAAAAAGAAATAGTAATAACTTACTATTTTAAATAAAACAAACTAAAAATAAAATTCTACTAAAGAAATAGTATCCATAAAGATCGTTATAGTACCACGTCTCTATTTTTTTTTCAAAAAAATTCTACTAAAATAACAACGCTAAATATGAAAAAAAAATGATATATATAACAAATATATAATATCGTTTATAGTACAATGTTATAAGAAAAAATAAAAATAAAAAGTTAATACGTTAAACTAAGTTATAATTACTCAAAATAGAAAAATAAAAACAAAAATAAGTTGGGATTAAAAATCAAAATATGGAAAAAAAAGATGATATAAATAACAAATATATAATATTGTTGAAAGTATAATTTCATTTTTATAAGAATTGTATGAAAAAATATATGTGAAAATATAAATATTTATATAGGGCTTTTATGGGCTAACTTTAGACATATGAAATATTTATTATTATTAGCTTGTATATTAATATTTAATGAAAACTTTATTTAAAATCATTAAATAAATTATATTTTTAAAAATTTAATAACATAGAAAGTATCCATAAAGAAATAGTAATAGCTTACTATTTTAAATAAAACAAACTAAAAATAAAATTCTACTAAAGAACTAGTATCCATAAAGATCGTTATAGTACCACGTCTCTTTTTTTTTCAAAAAAATTCTACTAAAGTGACGGCGCTAAATATGAAAAAAAATGATATATATAACAAATATATAATATCGTTTATAGTACAATGTTATAAGAAAAAATAAAAATAAAAAGTTAATACGTTAAACTAAGTTATAATTACTCAAAATAGAAAAATAAAAACAAAAATAAGTTGGGATTAAAAATCAAAATATGGAAGAAAAAAAAAGATGATATAAATAACAAATATATAATATTGTTGAAAGTATAATGTCATAATAAAAAATAAAATCAAAATTAAGACGCTAAAGTACAATGGTATAATAAATAAGTAAGTTATTTTTAGTTTAAGTCTCTTCTTTTTAAATCATCAAAAGCCTAGAATTACCCGTCCGTAATTGATTTAGAAATTAATTTCGGGTTGTCCCCGTTTTGGGACTGCTTTTTGAATACCTTACCTCATTTAGGATGTAAATGTGTATTACATGATTGATTGTTTAAGAAATATTCGGTTGTTATTTTCTCTTTGCTCCTCGGTATATAATTTTATATATACTTAGGAGCTAAGGGGAAATGCTGCCGAATTTTTCTTAAATGGTCAATCATGTAATACACATTTGCATATGAGGTAAGGTATTCAAAAAGTGGGTTTAGAAGCCTACCCTTGTGAATACTCTCCCGTTATCCGGTTTCCTATTCCATCTGATTGAGTGGTTATTCTATCCTTATAAATTTTCAATCCTAATTCTAGTTCTTGTAGAGTAAACACTAAAACCTAACCTATGTTTCAGTTGCAACATGTATATTGATAAAACTTGGACTACTATTGAAAACCGTAACTCTACCCTGTTCCAACAAGGACTCGAATCTTTTATCGAGAGGTCCAAACCACACGTCGATAACAAAGGTCAAATCAGATGCCCGTGTAACAAATGTAATGTCAATAAATTTATACTACTAGCCATAATGAAATTCCATATACTTCAACATGGTTTTAGTCCACATTATGTTGTATGGAAGTATCACAGCGAAAATACAACTCATCTAGTTGTTGAAGACATACCGCGTAGTAACGAGATGGCCGATGTTATTGATGATGTTATGGGGGTGTGATTGAAAATGATACCAACTGCGACGAAGGGAACCCAGATACCGACGGTAGCGGTGTCGATGATGGATTTCAAAAGCTGTTAGAAGAAGTCCAATTAAAATTATATCCTGGACGTTTGTTCTCGTCTCTTGACTTTTTAGCAAAGCTGATGCATATCAAGGTGATCAACAAATGGACTGATAGTTCATTCGGTCAGCTTCTTGAGTTGTTGCAAACTGCATTTCCTGAAGGAAACAGGGTCCCCCCGTCACATTACGAAGCAAAAAAGACACTTAAAAAGATCGGCTTGGGTTATGAGTCGATATACGTATGTAAAAACGACTGTTTTCTTTTCTGGAAAGAACACAGGTTGTTGCAAAAGTGTCCAGTTTGTAATGAGAGTCGGTGGGTTGATGAAAATACAAAGGGAAAGAAGGTTGCTCATAAGGTGTTACGATACTTTCCCCTGACCCCCAGACTACAACGTTTGTATTGTTCTAGACACACAGCTAAAGATATGATTTGGCACAGTACCGGACGATCCAAAGATGGTACGATGATTCATCCCGTTGATGGTACTTCATGGAAAAAATTTGATATGAAGTATCCTAACTTCTCGAGGGAACCCCGAAACGTGCGCTTAGGCCTTGCTGCTGATGGTTTTAATCTGTTTGGTAACATGTGTAATCCTCATAGCACGTGGCCTGTCATACTCACCACTTACAATCTTCCACCATGGCTATGCATGAAAGAGTCCTCTTTCATGTTGGCTTTGTTGATTCCCGGCCCCAAAGCACCCGGGAAGGACTTGGATGTGTTTCTTAGGTCGTTAGTGGATGATTTGAAGCAGTTATGGAGTTTTGGTATACGTACTAAAGACGCAGCGACAAATACATTCTTCAATATGAAAGCGATGTTGTTATGGACAATAAACGACTTTCCAGCTCGTAGTAGTTTATCCGGTTGGAGCGGTCAAGGGTACAATGCTTGTCCGACTTGCAACGAAGACACTCCATCATACCGAGTATCAATGAAAGTTGTATATGTTGGTCATCGCCGGTTCTTAGATGCTGATCATCCATGGAGAAAAAGTTTGGACTATAATGGTGAACATGAGACAAGAGGCCCTCCAAGACAGTTTAGTGAGGAAGAAATACAAGCGCAACACGCTCGTCTATTGTTTCGTCCACTGGGTAAAGTAGCTGCTCAACGAGC